GAGGCTGCGGTGGCCAGGAGCGGCCACCGCACTCCAGCCTGGGTGACAGAGTGAGACTCCAACTCAAAAAACAAACAAACAAAACAAAACAAAAAAAATGGCAGAGCTGAAGGACCAGACCACAGTGAATTCCAGCTCAGCAACCTCAACCTCGAGCAGGTCCCAGGCTCACTTTAGCCTCTGACATCAAGCAGGGAAATGACCACCTACCTATCACCTTGCAGGGGCTCAAAAGAGAAAGTGAGGCTCGAACACCTAATGCTGTGCATGGTACCAGCTGATACCAGAAATATGCTTTTTTTAAAATGGCATTTTTAGGCCAGGCTCGGTGGCTCAGCCTGTAATCCCGTGCCTTTGGGAGGCTGAGGTGAGTGGATTGCCTGAGCCTGCGGGTTCAAGACCCGCCTGGGCAGCGAGACCTCATCTTTACAATAAATCAAAAAATCAGCTGGGCGTGGTAGCGCGTGCCTGTAATTCCGGCTACTCAGAAGGCTGAGGCGGAAGGATCGCCAGAGCCCAGCACATGAGGCTGCGGTGGCCGGCAGCGGCCACTGCACTCCAGTCTGGGCAACTGAGTGAGACTCCAACTCAAAAAAAATAAATAAATAAAAAATAAAATAAAATAAAATAAAATGGGGTTTTTAGGCCGGGCTCAGTGGCTCAGCCTGTAATCCCAGCACTTTGGGAGGCTGAGGCGAGTGGATTGCCTGAACCTGCAGGTTTGAGGCCAGCCCTGGCAACTTGGCAAGACCTCATGCGTGGTAGCATGTGCCTGTATTTCCGGTTACTTGGAAGGCTGAGGTGGAAGGATCGCCAGAGCCCTGCAGGTCAACGTTGGGGTGACTGAGGGTGTGCCACTGCACTCCAGCCTGGGCAACAGAGTAAGACTCCAACTCAAAAAAGGGGGGGGGTTGTTTTTTGTTTTTTAAGAGATAGGGTCTCACTATGCTGCCTGGGCTAGAGTGCAATGGTGTGATCACAGCTCACAGACACCTCAAACTCCTTGGTTCAAGTGATCTTTTTGCCTCAGCTTCCCAAGTAGCTGGAACTACAGACGTACGCTCCCACATCCGGATAATTTTTTTATTTTTTGTAGAGACAAGGTCTCACTATGTTGCCCAGGCTGGTCTCGAACTCCTGGGCTCAAGCAATCCTCTTGTCTCGGCCTCCCAAAGTGCTGGATTACAGGTATGAACTACAGTACCCAGCCAATATTCTTGCTACTGTGAGTCCTGTATACTATGTATCTAGAAGGCAAAGCTTTGCGATTAACTAGGTTGTTTTAACTTCTAAATAAACTAACCCTCCTTCTGCTTCTTCTGCTGGAGACCAAAGTTTACTGGCTTTCCTCCACAGGACCTCACCTCGTGCCAGATCCCCTGGGAACAACAGCAACCAAACTAACAATTTACAACATGCCCTCACATGTATTAATTCCTTTGAATTAGGCCAAGCACATGTAGTCCTCGGCCTCTTTGTACTGCTGAGAATACCGAGGCCCAGAGAGACATTATACAATGTCCTGTAACCACTATATTTCATCAGTTCTGAGAGGTCCTTTTCACATTTCAACACCTCTGAAATGGGGTGCACCCTGCAGTTATAACTGATGGTAGCTTAACTGGCAGCATTTTCTTGTTCTTAGTATTATGCAAAATAATCTTATGATAATAGCTCCTTCGATTCGATGGAATATAGCACAGGTGGCCGAACCAAGACTCACCTCAGTCCCCAACTCCCAGCTCCTTTTACCACATGACAGGTAGCCAACAGGCTCTTAATCACCAGGACCTCATTTATTTGTTTAGAGTCAGAGTCTCACTCTGTCACCCAAGCTGGAGTGCAGTGGTGTGATCACAGCCCGCCACAGCCTCAACCTCCTGGGTTCAGGTGATCCTTCCACCTCAGTTTCCTGAGTAGATGGGACTGCAGGGGAATGCCACCACAATTGGCTAATTTATTTTATTTTTTTGGTAGAGACAAAGTCTCGCTATGTTGCCTAGGTTGGTCTCGAACTCCTGGTCTCACACAATCCTCCCACCTCGTCCTCCCAAAGTGCTGAGATTATAGGCATGAGCCACCATGGCCTCAGCCCCAAGTTTTGGAAAAGAAAAAAAACTTAACCAAATGAACTGAGTGTATTTTTTATCCACTTTTTACTAATTCGAAGACATGTAAACCTGCCTGGAAGAGCTTCCATCCACATCTAATCAGTGTTAAATATTAAGTAGAATAATTCCTGCTGAAAGCAAAAAACAAAAAACAAAAAACTGGCTTTAATTAGCTTGTACAGCATTATGAAAGATGAACATATGATTTCCCCTGAATATGTTGAAATAAATAAAGTTCATCTCCACCTCTAAGAACTGGGATCTGACTGCAGTTTGGGAAGCCCCAAGCTCTAGCAGGGACTGTGTGCCCGCTAATATCAAGGCTTCCTTCCCTCATGCCCCTGACCCCAAGGCCACCTTTATCCTCAGCCCTCACATACTGCTCTGGATCTGAACTGAAAAGTGTCTAAGGGACCCCAGGTTAGGATCAAGCATCTTGGCTCTTTCTTCCTGATCAGCCAAACACCCAAACAAACCAGCCCACACAAAGACCACCGCAGCTACCCCGTGGTATACTCACTGCAGACGGAAGATCGCAGTCAGCCAGGGGCAGCAACCCTGGAAACGGAAAGAATGGGGAACAGCTTCCAACACCTGTGTCTTTGGGAAGCCGATGTAATTGCTGTCTTTGGCATTAAATAACCACATAACCTCCTGTCGTATAAAAATAGTGCCCGAGTCCCACATTCAGCAAGCTACATCCTTATCTCAAACAGGACAGAGTCTCACACTCCCAGTCTTTTGCTACAGCACCCTGTGCCTGAAATTCTCGCTGAAACCTCTCAAGTTTTGACAATTTCATGGTCAAGTCAGGAAACGTGGATCAAGAGCTGAAGAAAGCTCAGTGCAGCCCTGCGGAAAATGATGCATGCTTCCATTTGATTGTTTCAACTGACTGACTGTGAAGTGGGTCAAGAGAGAGGAAACAAGTCTAAGGATTGGCAGGTTCTCAGGAGTGGGGAGTTAAAGGGGAAGATGGTGTCTGCAGGCTTATTGTCCTTCCCCTCTCTTAAGCTTAACACTCCCTGAAGCTGGGCTGGTACCCAGCTGGAAAAGACAATTTATTTGTTCATCATTCATCCAACAACGACGAAGCACCTAGTAGGTATCAGGTGTTGGGGAACAGGACTGGATGAGGCAGGATTCCTGCCCACATTTGGCTCACAATCTAGCAGGCAAGTCAATAATTGACTGTCATACAAAGCCATAGGCGAGACAAGTGCTTGGGATGCCTAGGGGATTCCGTAGCCCTCTCTACCTGTGGGTTCAATCAGGTCTCATGATCCTGAGTCATCCAGCTGCCATCCCCCCATGGTATTTCCCAAGTTCAAGTACCTTTGCTGATGCAGAGAACTTTCCCTAGCACTTGCCACTCAAGCGTCACAGTACTATGTTAGTGACTGAACCAGGAGTATGACTGCCCTGGCCCCTGGCCATAACTGCATTATATTGCTGGTCCCCATCCCCCCAGCCCAAACAACAACTGTTCTTTAGATACCAACCAGTTCGCTTTCAAAGTCTTGTTGCCCTGAGGAGGAAGTCGACGACAATCTCTGAAATCTGGACTCGCTAGAAGCACGAAAGGAAAAAAATTACAGATCATTCTACAAAAAAAAAAAAAAAAAAAGGGTAGAAAAAAGAAACACACCCAGTATTTTGTTGCCTCTTAGAGCTCAGAACCCAAAGCTACCTGCTCTCAATGGCTGGGACAAAATATAATCCACTCTGAAAAAAAGAGACGAGGACAATGACCATTTCTGGGTATGGTATAAACCTCTATGTCAAATGGTATAACATGGGGTCAGGGCATCAGCAGACCATCCCTGTGTCCCACACCCCAAACATCAGCCCTGCAACTGGTCTCCCTGAAGTGACTCCAAAGTGTTGCCTGTTTACAATATACTTCCTAATATATCAAATAAAACTTGAAGTAAACACTTCATTTTATCAAATCTAAGACATCACTGGTTGTCAGGAACATAATAATTTTATGAACCTCTAAGAAAGAAAATTGCTGCCAATTACATGATGACCATCATTGATAATAGGATGCATCCCAATTTTAAAGATGAGAAAATGTCAAAATGTACATTAGATTCTTTCTTGTGAGTACCTATGAAAACGCCCTTTGTGCTATGAATTTGCATTTGGTTTGCCATGTGCAATGTGTGAATTTTGGCTTTTCTTGATTCTACCCCTGGCCTCACCACCTCACTACTTCAAATGACATAAAATGTGGTAGAACTTAACTTTTCAAAGCATTTGCAGAGACATTGTCTCATGTGACCTTCACGTAACCCCATGGGGAAGAGATGACAAGAGGAGACCAACCCCAATAAGTTGGGGGACTTGACCAGGCTCACACAGCCAGGGAAGCAGCAGGGCCTCCTGATAACCAGTGCTCTTTTCTACTGCAGCACAGGGCACCACACCAGGTTGAATGCGCTGTAAAGGCACCAGAGGTTTCCCCAACAGTCCAAGGTCATCACCTCCGGCCTTTGCAAATGCCAGAGCAGAGACTGTGGGGAACGAAGGTGCATTCACAGGTACACCTCGTCCCAGTTGAGAAGACTTCTCCTGCCCATGTCACATGTCAACAGGGGCCACAGAACCTGCAGGGTCAGCCAGGAGCCTCAGGGAAGGCTCTAGGCAGGCAGCCAGGGCCCGTGCCTGAGTTCTCCTCACCCACTTCCTATTGCCACATCTGACACAAGATCCTGGGGTATAAACAGCCAGCTGGAGGGGAACCTCTGGTTGTGAAGATCTAGAATTCACTTTCGCCCTCAGGTGACATGAACCGAGAGCCCAGGGCAGAACTGGAAACTTGAGGTCTGGCGGAGGGAACCAGCACTTTGAAAGAGACTCATCCAAGGCTGGCACTCACTGAGCAGGAGAATGGGCAGCTTCCCGCCGGTTCCGCTGCCCTTCTTGATCCACCTCACCCAGCCCTGGCCCTGGGGCTAATTGATTTCAAAGACAATGCACTTAAAAATATCCAAGGTTGCGGCTTGGTGGCTCAGCCTGTAATCCCGCGCCTTTGGGAGGCTGAGGTGAGTGGATTGCCTGGGCCTGCGGGTTCGAGACCCGCCTGGGCAGCAAGACCTCATCTCTACAATAAATCAAAAAATCAGCCGGGCGTGGTAGGGCATGCCTGTAATTCCGGCTACTCGGAAGGCTGAGGCGGAAGGATAGCCAGAGCCCAGCAGGTCGAGGCTGCGGTGGCCGAGAGCGACCACTGCACTCCAGTCTGGGTGACAGAGTGAGACTCCAACTCAAAAAAAAAAAAAAAAAAAAAATCCAAGGTAAGAAAGAAAACAGGGTCCTCCTCAGCTGAGGATGACAGCCCTAAGTATCTAAAGCAAACAGCCTGAAGCCACAGCCCACCCAGAAGCCCAGAGAGAGAGCTGAGCATCTGGGCCTTGGGTGTTTTGTGGGCACGATGAGGGTAATGAGGCTGACCTCCTGGGTCTGTGGTGAAGAGCAGAGCGGACACAGTTTCTGGTACAGGCCTGGCAGATACACTCAGTGAGCACAGTCTAGTATCAGGGACACATGTGGGCCCCCCCACTGAGGGTTTCAGGAGCCCCTGGTCCATTCCAGTGACACATACACGCACACTCACGCATACACATATATACATGCACACACATACACTCATACATATATACACACACATAAGTATATCTAGCAGGCAAGTCAATAATTAACTGTCATACAAAGCCATATACATATATGTACACACTCACACATACACATATATACATACACACATACACTTACACACATACATACATACACACATACATACATACACATATATACACACATATACATACATACTGACATATATACATACACATATGTATATATACACTCACACATACATATATACATACACTCGTACACTCACATATATACACACACTCACATACACGGATACATACTCACACATATCTACACATACACATTCATATATACACATATACATACACACATATATACAAATACATATACATACACACACATACACATATACACACTCACACACATATAATACACATACATACTGACATATATACATACACACACGTATATACACACTCACGCATACATATATATACACACACACATATACACACTTGGCATAATTATAGCAAGTCAATAATTGTCATACGAAGCCATATACATATATACATATACATACACACATATACGTGCAGATACACATACATGTACACATATATACATATTTATACAAGAACATATAGACATTCACACACATATCATATATATATATATACACACATTCACACATATGCACATCCTAAGCAATGTGTCTTTTTTACCTGTCTGCTTCTGACACCAGGGCAATGCGTCCATAATCCCAGAATCTTCTTCTTATGAAGGAAAACACCAAGATTAAAAACTAAAAAGTAGAAAAGAAACCAAGCAAAAGCATATTAAATGGCTTCTAATTAGAAGAGACAGTTGTCTCAAAGCCTACCTACCCAGACTCAGCAGGGCTATAAGGAATTCGTCAGGCCCAGAGAGGGTACTGGGCTACCCAAGGCCACACAGCTCAGTGGCCCAAAGGTTTGCCCACCCCCTTCACTAGCTCCTGTCACCTGTGGCCTATCCACCAAGGCTGTCAGCACTGATGCCAAGCTTGCCTAATGCCCTCCTAGTCAAACATGTCAGCCCTCAAGGCAGTGTTGATACTGCGAGGCCTTGGTCTTGGGCCTGGATCTGCCTTCAGAGGCCTCTGAGCAGGAAGGCAAGGTCTGGCCTCATAGCAGCCCTGGGAACCAGCTCCCATCTTCACCTTACATAAAATTTCACTGATAATCGCAGAACCACGGTAGCAGAGCCTCCCCACCTTGAGCCAGAACAGTCAGATTTTACTTTGATTCCCCTGAAGGCAAGCCATGTGGACCCCTGGCACGGAGCCTGCAGGTAGCGATGCCCAACCAGGATCTGGTACTCCAGGATGTCTCAGCCTCGGCAAGCTGGGACAACAGAGCAGGCAATGGGAACATGAGGGGTTGGACTAAAGGTCTCTCTAAGCCCCTTGGCTCTAGAAATCTGCAAATTCTCAGCTGTCTCCTCAATTCCCACAGGCCCACCTCAGCAGGTTCTCTGCCACGTTCCCACCTCTCTCCCACCCTAAACAGGCTCCTTCCCTTAGAGATTCGGGGAGGTAGAGAAATAGAGGGGACTCCCCAAAAAGCAGAATTTATTTATGAAAAAATTATTAATTCTTACATGTTTAAACTTCAGTCACCTTCATTTGATGCAATACACCTATCGAGGCACTTTTTCCACTGCTTAAACTAGTTTTTAGAGCCAGGCTCGGTGGCTCAGCCTGTAATCCTGCACCTTTGGGAGGCTGAGGTGAGTGGACTGCCTGAGCCCGCGGGTTCGAGACCCGCCTGGGCAGCGAGACCTCATCTCTACAATAAATCAAAAAACCAGCCGGGCGTGGTAGCCCATGCCTGTAATTCCGGCTACTTGGAAGGCTGAGGCGGAAGGATCGCCGGAGCCCAGCAGGTCAAGGCTGCGGTGGCCGGGAGCGGCCATTGCACTCCAGTCTGGGTGACAGAGTGAGACTCCAACTTAAATAAATAAATAAATAAATAAAAAAGTTTTTAAACTTGTCAATTTTGAAGGCTTTTAATGCTTCTGCCATTTTTTGTTTTACGTCTTCCACATCGGCAAAACGTATCCTTGAGGACTTTTTTCAGCCAGGGAAACAAAAAAAAGTCACCTAGAGCGAGATCAGGTGGATATGGAGGGTAGGACACAGGGATCATGCCACTTTTAGTTGAAAACTGCCAAACACTGACAGTGTGGGCAGGTACGCTGTAAGTCACCCATCATAAAATGGGTAAACGCTGAAATAATCTTTAAAAGAAATTCGCCAAAGCCAAATGCAGCCTCTCACAACAATGCTAGCTAGTACACTGATGCTGATGGGTTCCTAGAACACTTACCTAGCAGGAGAAGCTTATACTCAAAGGGGCCCACCTACCCCTTCAAAAATAAAAAGGATAATTCTGGGTTTTGGGGGGGGTCCTCTTTTTTTTTTTTATTTGTTTTTTTTTTTTTTT